TATATATAATTATAATTTCTATATAATTTATAATATTTTCAAAATTATTCAATTTTGTTAAGTAGTATTTACCCCATGGAATTACTATTGCTTCTTAATCATGACGATAATATTAATTTTAGATTCTTGGACTTAAAGTATTAAAAAGGAAAAAAATATCTGCATTGTTGATTTATACGATAAAAGAAATGATTTTGAGTTGAACTTGAATAAACTAGTTACATGGAATTCTAATCTTTCTAAAAACAATTATTTAAGAACCATTTTTTTATCAAATGAATAGAATTTAAAGAATTTGTAGTAATAATTATTCATTTAAAAAATAAATAGAAGAACTCTTCCAAAATTCAATAAAATCAGCTGATGTAATTGAATTCTATACAATATCATTGAGTGAATTGAATATTATAATAAAAAAATTTCTTTGTTAACTAAATTTATGTTATTACCAAGTTCAAATACGTGACTAAAAATCTTTTAATATTTAACAAAGAGTTTTTTAAACTAATTATTTTTTTCAAATCATTTCTCTAAATTCAACCTTATTAATACTAGAAATTTGATAATTAAAATTCAATTTCATTAATTATAAACTTTGAATTATCCAGTATAATTATTACCTTGTGCACATCCAGATTTGTACTAATCCACGGTAACTAACAAAACAAACGGATTTCTGTTCTTCAGTAAGAACGCGCGATAAGTTGAGTCCTTATGGATAAGTTGAGGCTTCAATTTTCATATTTTGTAATCTGGCAAACTTATTAGGAAAACATTTTAAATCACTTTTGTAGAATGCTTGTTTGTGTAAGTACATTTGAATTTACTACTCACTTTATTTATGACATTTTGAGTTTTATTCCGCATTTTCTTGAATTTTTTTTCGTTTTATTGTTTTATTTTACATTTTTTGCTTAATAAATTCTATTTTCGTTTCAATTTTGTTTGGTGCTCTTCACACTATTGTATTAACATATTTTGATTTGGATATATTAATACAATATTAAAAAGTACTATTTTTCTGATATAATCGCATAAGCTGATGATGAGATATTTTTTCGGCTTTTTTTTTAAATTTTTAAATTTGTTAATATTTTTTAAAAACACTTCTCAACAATTTTTTTCCTTCTCCTTCAAAAATCTTTATTCTTTTTTCCATAAGAGTTAGGTAATAATTAATTAACAAATCTATTAATAACTACAGTTATTAATTCCAAATCTAATATATCTGCTAATCTAATAATGTACAAATCTCTTAATTATTATGGAATCTAATTAAATTAAGATTTCATAATAATTAATGGATTTGTTCAATCATTTCATTTGGCCTTCAACCCTTTTCTTAAAGTGTACAGACAGACTACTATGACGTGTGTGTGTAGTGGAAAGAAAAACAGAATATTAATAACTTTTGATCTGCTTTTCATGAGCTACAACTCAATCTTAATATTTCGAGGGACTTAACTTAAATGTGCCTTTATTTTTTCTCCCTTTTCGATAATTTAAGACTTAAAATCTGTCTCTAAAACGTTTTTTTCTCACAAAAGGAAAGGGTTTTAACTCCAATTTGGAAAATATAGTTTTTTAGGCAGAGGAGATTTGGAAAGTTTTAGTTCTCACATGCTAATTTATCTTTAGTATGTTTCTCTAAATCTCTCAAAAGCTATTTATACAAATTTGTTAAACTCGCTTATTTCAAAATAATTTTATGCAAAATATAATTTTTAACTTTCTTTTAATATTTTATTTAATGATGGCCAAAAATGTTTTTAATTGTGAGGTATATAAATTTTTATTTTAATTTAAATTACGTCTCAGTTAAAATGACACAGTAAAAATTATATAAATATCTGCAGATTTTCATTTCGAGAACTTTTCGTTCTTTCAAATAATTTATAAAAAAGACTCTAAAATTTTTTAAAAATAGTTTAAAAGTTATTAAAATAATTTAGTAAACTTCTTGAAAAATTCTTTTTCTACATCTTTGAATAAACGAATTTATTGAATTGTTGAATAACATTGAATTATCTTTGAATAAACGAGTTTTGCAGTATTGTCAAACATTTTTTTATTGTCTTAAATATCTCCGAAGATACAATTTAATGCAGAAAAAGTTTATTGTAGGTTAATTTATCTGGTACTTGCAAATATATTTAATTAGTTTTATAATGAAACTTTTAATTAGTTTACATAAAAATTCATCATAATACTTGCTTAAATGTTCATCATAGAAAGTTGTATCCCTTCCGACGACTTACTTTTATAATAAAAATAATCCATTGCTTTTCAAAGTTCTCTGCCAAGGATCCTTTCAAATTGTAATGACTTAAAAGCTGCTGTACAATCGTTTTATATTTTTGTATTTTCTTGAGGGTTAGCATATAATGAATACATTGATTGCTATGCAAACAAATATTTACAACCATCATCAAACGAATAATTATTTCATGTAGAGCTAAACTCTTTCACAAGTGATGTCACACGTGCCACCGATGTCATAAAATTGTCTTTTATAACCATTATTAGTGTGTTCCGTCATTGACCAGATTACTTAATAGCCTCATTTATCACCTCTTATTCTGAAAATAATGTTTACGCAATTCTTTGGTAAATGAGAATCTCATCTCAGAGAAGCTTGTTTTCTAAATTAATAATTAATATTGAAAATGAATGAATAGTAACTTATGTCTGTGGATTATGTTATTAACTGGAGCTGGGATTAGACTTAAGCCAATCAAATCTGGAGAGATTAGAGGAAGAAAGTTAATTGTTGATAATCTTTTAATTTTTTAACTTAATTTAAAGGGAATGTCCGAACAATTTTGAATATATTTTTTACATCATTTTGAATTATACAATTTTAAATAATAAGATACGAAATTTGAGTAAAATGAGTCAAGTATTTCTTGATGAATAAAAATTTAACAACATGACCTTTTGAAATTTTATTACTTATATGCGATTAAAGGTTGGGACAAAACATTTCAGTGCCCAACTTGATGTTGGAAGATCTTTAAGATTTTTAATCTAATTGACCAATTTTCACCTTTTAAGATAGTATCATCCTTATGGTTTAAAGAGATAATTTTAAATAATGCTCATACGTTCGTTTTGAAAATTTAAGATAACAAAATGAGAAACAAAAACGTACTTTCTTTAAATAAACATGAATGTCTGTCATCGGACTTTCAGTTATGATCGTCAAAATGAGAGTCGCAATCTGGAAAATATGATACCAATTTGTATGCTTAACAAAACTTTTTCGAATGTTCCTATTACATTAAATCACAAAATATCAATAATTCTAAAAATAAATCCGACATTCGATCAGAAATTATTTGACTGTTGCTTTTTTATCAGGTAGATTGTTCATTACAAAGTAACATTTTTTATCATCGGAATTTGAGCATAAAATGTCACGAAGCATGCATTTTTATTTTATTTTACAACCATCGCTTAAAAAGCCGACTCAGTTTTTTGGATTTACTACTACGATTACTACAGTTCAACTACGTATCCTTGACATTTTGAACCCAATCCAGAAGACAAGGCAACTCCCGAATCAAGTATTGGGTGAAATTCGCTTTCCCGGAGGACTTTTTGATGAAACTAACTCGCATTTGCGTCACATGGAGAGGAAAACCGCGGAAACCTAACACGGTTGGCTTGAGAGTCAAGGACCCAAATACTCTAACCAACGATACGTCTGCCACTGAGGATATTCTACGCTAATCACTGAGATCGGTGCGAGCCGGGTGCGGAATTTTAACCGACCAGCTATCGCCGATTTCAAACCCAGTTGACCCCATTGAAGGGAGAGCGCTTTATCTCCTGAACCACCACGGCTCTTTCATGTTATATGATATCAAAAATGTATTTATTTTTTATGATGATTTTATGTCATTATTTAATTAGGAAAAAAAGCTCTACAAAAACAGACCACCTTAAATACATTTTGATCTAATGACCGGATTCAGCCCTAATGGTTTGAGGAGGTAACCTCAAACATATTAATTTATTAGTTCAGACGATATTTTAAGTTACGAAACCAGGCACAAAAACGTACTTTCTCTGAATAAACATGCCTACTTTTCAACGGATTTAGATTTCCAACCCCCCAAAATATAGGGGGGGGGGTATCCGTAATCTGGGAAATAGAGTCTCCATAGTTTGGTCAGGAGAGCGATCCGATCCAGAATTTGGACCTTTAATGGTCATTTTACTTTTTGAGAATTTCGTCAATTTGAGAGCTTTTTACGCGAATTGAAAAATTTTTGCACACCATTATAAAATTCGTTTATCCAAAATTAATTCCATGCAAGAAATAAATTTTAATAATAATTTATTATTTTTGATTACTTTATTTCATAATAGTCGAAAAGATTTCGAACTGTAAAGTATACAATATTTTACGTCATTTAAACGTATGTCATTTTACATGGCAAAATACAAAATTTTATTGAAATCGGTTGAATAGTTCCTGAGAAATCAAATTTCGAAAAAGTCGTATATTTAAGCATAATTTTTATATATGTAACTATAATTACTACCAACAATTCTCATTTATTTATTGATTGATTGATTTTAATTCGTTAAAAATATGAATTACATCTTCTATTCAGCACCTTTCTAAAGGTCATAAAGAAGGTGATTATTAACAAGCATCTTTTATGAAGTGCACTTTCAACCATCCCACGTTGATGGTAATGAGATGGCAGATATTTTGGCTAAAGAGACTGCTGGTAGATAATTGGACGCACATTCAATAACTTATTTGGAGAACTGCTCTCAAAAGCTGAAAATGCTTCTTGGACCATCTTTCCTGTTCACCAATGGTAACATGGAAAGTTTATGACTCAAGTTTTGTAGGCGGGACCAGACGGCCATCACCAGGCTTCTCTGAAGACATTTGAGATCTCTATCTTATTTCATTGGAAAAAAAGATGTCCAAAGCTGTGTGAAGTGTACGGACCATCAGGCCACCCCTGACCAAATACTAGATTGTCTGGGGCTTCTTTGGTCCAGACAAGATCTTTTCACAAACCCAATTCTAGTATTAGACTTTCTTAAAGTGACAAATTTCAGAGATCTGGTTTAGCGTTGCTTAACAGCTGAGATATGCAACAACAGCATTTATTTGACTGGTGATATGATATATCCAAACACTTGACTATATATGTTTGTAACGTCTATCACTATTCACACACAGCAGAGAAATAATCTACTGGTACACTAGAAAGACTCACTCTTGAGAATTTTTAAAATAAGGTATATAGGACCCACGCTAAGGATTTCAAATTATTAGCCAGTAAATTAACCAAATATCAAAAGTATTCACCAATTTTCGAAAGTCTTTGCCAAATGCAAATCTTCACAATTTTTTATATATTATATTTTTCTTTCCAGTAGAAAAAAAACATTCGCCAATACTTTCGCCAAAATACAATTTGATTCCTAAATTTACGATTTTATCGCATTTGGCGAGGAGTCGAACGCTTAGCGCGAACCCTGGGTATGTCAGAATAGCATATTAGAATATCAAAAAGTCCCCCACAAAGGCAAATTCCTCCCAATACTTGATAAAGGAGTTTCCTTGTCTTCTGGATTGAATTCCAAATTACAAGGCTATGGAGTTGACCATTTGAAGTCGAAAATCCTAAAAATTCGTTCGTCTGTTCAACGATGGTTATAAAATAAAATAAAATAAAATAAAATAAAATAAAATAAAATAAAATAAAATGTAATTTTTATTATAAGTTTTTTACACACTAAACAGTCAAAGCGTAATAGATCATTTTCGTTTTTTCGCAGATTTTCGTTTTTCGTGAAAAGAGAATGGTTTTTGAAAATCTTATTTTTCTAAGACTGATTAAGCATAAAAAAGTAGATAAAAATAATAATATTTATACTAGAAAATTTATTTTCAATCAAAATTTTTATGCACTACATTTTATATTATGTAATTAAACTTTGATGCAATGTGATGCGCTAATTGAACTAAAATATCAAAAATTAAAATGCATTTTAACTCTTTTACAACTTGTATGACACGTGTCAGAGAAATAATTATTATTTCATAAAGCACAAGATGTCATCAAAATGCCTATCAAATATGTCCTCTTTTCTGTGAAATTAATTCACCTGTCATTCCCAAGGCTTGTGTCATTTAGAGAAATCATTGTTTTGATTTATAGTCAACCAGGGTATCAACGATTTAAATAATCCTAAAATCAGAATTACGGTTTCAACCACTTGATAGAAAAAAAAAACATTATTGATTTCATTCATTATTTAGAAAAAAAAAAGTGATTCAATAATCTTATATTACGTTTCTCCGAATAATACTAAAAAAAATATTCATTTCTAAACATAGCAAACTTAAGAGATGAAAACTAAAATATTAGACGCCTTTGTATTATTGACATTGCAATTAGTTGTTAAGATATGTTTGTGTAAGTAACTGGTCGCGAAATGTCATTTTGTAAATTACATAATTATTAAATAAATCAGTTGATACAAGAAAAAGCATAAAAAATAATGAGTCAACATTCTTCATTTTGTTATAAAATTTCCAATTAATTAACAAAGATATATATTTGCAATGAAATTATATATTATGCCTCGTATAATATATTATTTATATCGATAAAGCAGAATGTTTGTCTGTTTGTATTTTCAAATTTAATATACAAATACAATTCTGCACGAATGTGCACTAAATTTGATGTAAATACATTTGAAGACACGGTGGACGTAACTGTCTATTTTTAAAACTACTTCTGACCAAGCGCTACATCCCAAAGAATGAGTTTTCCATAAGATTCGATAAATATTTTATAATAAAGCAATTAGCTTAGTTTAGTGAATCAAAAATTAGTTTTATAAAATATTAAGCTTTTGGTTATCTGTGATAGGTTATACCTCGCGTTACTTTTATTGATATATGTGATTTTAATCTTTTGATACAGATGAGATGTATATGATATATATATATATATTTTTTTTTCAGATTATCTAATTGCAAGCAAAAATATATTTAGGTATTTTTTTGGTTATAAAAAGCAGTCTAATAATTACTATAAATATCAGTCAGATTATCAAAATTATATTTGTATTAAAATAGAAAATCCAAAAAAGTAGTTTTTTTTCTCCATTCACTATCAAAAATGTATCAATAATAAATGGTGCCAATTAAAGAAATTTAGAAGATGAATAACTGTTATTTTTTGATCTAAATAACTTAAAATGAGTACAAACTAAAAAAATTTTTTTGTTTGAATGTGAGCAGTGTTTGACACTGGTGTTTCATGTTGCATACCGTAACCATACATTATTAAAGTTCTAAATATAATATTTTTCACTTATTTTGACCTGAATTAATACAAAATAAGGAAAAAAGTATGAAAATATGTTTAATAAAAATGTTTGCTTCAAAGGATTATAGCCTATATCTATAAACTTAAATAATGGTAACTCGACACGAAAGAATGAAATAGAAGTGAAGTTATCTATTAAGCCATCGAAAAATTGTGGCAAATTCTGAACAACACATTTTAAATGATACTATATGTTTAGGTATTCTATTACAGTATTTTATAACCATCGTTGAACAGACGACCCAATTTTGGTTTGACGACTACTGATTTTCAACTCCATAGCCTTGTCATTTTGAGCCCAATCCAGAAGACAGGGATCAAGCATTGGGAGAAATTTGTCTTCGCGGAGGACCTTTAATGGAACTAACCTGCATTTGCGTTACGTGGAGAGTAAAACCGCGAAAACTTTCCACGGTTAGCCTGATGGCAAGGGAACTCTAACCCATGATCCACCTATTACTGCGGATATTTGACTTAAGCACTGTGCTCGGTGCGAGCCGGATCCAGAGTTCGTATCGACCAGCCATCACTGGGATTCGAACCTAGTTCACCTCATTGGAATTTGAAAGCTCTATCCCCTGAGCCTTCAAAGGTCTCTATTACTATATATATAGTTATGCTAATCTACAACCTTTCAGTAAAATTTTTAATTTTTATTTTTTATCATTTGTTGCATATTTCGGCTCAGTTTCATAATATTAGATTTACTATAATCTGAGTTTAACTCACTGAAAGAAAGTATTATACATATAGTATCTGTTACTATATTTATAACCGTCGTTGAACAACAGAACCGATTTTCTGAGTTTACGACTATTAATGTTCAACTCCGTAGCCTTGTCATTTTGAACCCCATCCAGAAGACAAGGGAACTCCTGGATCAAATATTGGGAGAAATTTGCTTTACATGAAGTAAAAAAACCACGAAAATCTTACATGGTTATCCGGACGGTAAGGAGACTCTAACCCATGATCTGTCTAGAACTGAAGATATTTTACGTAAGCGAGCCGGTTACTTAACTCGTATCGACCTGTCACTGCTGTCTTCCGACCTCATGGGAAGTCGAACGCACTATCCCCTGAGCCACCACACCTCCTCTAACTATATAGTACTTTTTTTAAGTTGAACTCAGACCGTATAGTACTTTCCTTAAGTTGAACTCAGACCGTATAGTACTTTCTTTAAGTTGAACTCAGACCGTATATCAGTTGTATACTAGTTTAGGATGGTGATATTAGGGTATTTATCCGTTTTGGAAGGCGGTATATGAAAAAATCTATTACCACAGTACCTATTTTGTGCACCTTGGTATAATATCTTCTCATTACCTCAGTACATATAACGGCAATATCAGAAGTATTTAATACCGGATTTAATTAAGCATTACAGGCATTAAAAGTAATTTGACTTTTTACGGCATTTGAAATAAGTACCGATATTATGTTGTTCGTTAAAAAGGATTTTAAAAATATTAGTATTGATACTCATTATTTTCGAGAATTACAATTCATTCATTTTGGTAATGGATACAAAATTCACTTAAGAGTTATCGAAATGCTAATGGAAAAAAGGTACTTATTCTAATACATAAACAGTAAAAAAATACCATATTGTTACTGATGTCAACGATGCTTCATTTTGGTAATAAGTACAAAATGAAATGAAAAAAAAAAAAGTTTTGTACTAAAAAGCTAAATGAATGAAAAAAAATGCTAATTCATCTAGGAAAACAATAAAGAAAATCTTTATGTTGCTTAGTTAATCTCAGTAATAAGTAAGGTACTGCAGCTATTATGCTAATGAGTGTTTTTCAGTAAGAGCTAAAAATACAACAGTTGATATCCGGAAATAAAAGTTTACGACCCACTCAAAGGGATTATGTAAGAGAAAAAATTGTTGATTTTGGTTTATTTTGACAATCAGGAGTGGACATCGAACAATAACATTTATGCCGAACGATATCAAATATATTTATCTTTATTTTGAAAGAATACAGTTTTTTTTCTTGAAAGGAAAGGTCCGGAAAACCGCTCCAAATTATGATTGCATCTCCAAATTTATCCAAGTTTTCATTTTAGTTTTAAAAAAGTAAAGAAAAAATTATGGGAATGCTGCCCTTCGCTTTTAAAACATGTCTAAACTTGTTTTCAATAAAAATGAAAAAAAAGGAGAAAAATAAAAGAGTTTAAAGAAAATTGAAAAGAACGAAAAGTTTTAAAAAAATACCTATTACTTGATTACAGACTGGAATTGTGCAAGGATTTATTCTATTTTTTTAAAAAATACCATTTTGAAAAAATCAATTTTAATTTAAGCAACATAAAGTTAGTTAAAAAAACATAATGATTTTAGTCCCTAGTTTAAGTGTATCGGTCGATTAAGTGTATATGTTCTATGAATTTGATTTGTCCCTACAAATCATTTGATTTGTCCCCTACCTTTGGATGATGATTCAAATTTGATTCGTTAGATGTTTTGATTTGTGCCGTGAAAATTATTTCTCACTCAGAATACTTTTTCAGGTTTAATATAGGAAATCAGGGCAATCTTCATTTAGTTATCAATAATATTATTAATAATGTTGGTTGGTGGTTGGCTGGAAAAAAAAACCCTTAAATAATCGATGGATTCAGCACTTCTGCGTATCATCCTGCATCTATGTTCTAAAATAAGAGAGTAAATGCAGGGGAATCAGTACATACGTACTTAGAACAAAATCATACGAGCAGTGTTTTAGGGCTAGCAAGTCACGGCACCAGAGGGAGGGAGGGTGGAACTTAATATTATGAAAGATAATTTTTGATCAACAATTATCAAGTCATCTGAAGTTATCAAAGTTTTATTTTCTTAAATTTTCTTACTTCAATTTTATTGTAAACCCTAAAATTTTTCTCCCCGTATACCGATAAACAATTTTAAATATATTTTTTTTGAATATTTAATTTCACATTTTAAATTTTTTTTTTAATAATGTATAGAATAAAACTTACAGACTTATGAATTATACATAAATGAAACTTATTGATCGAACTGCTTTGAACTATTTGCATATTGAGTTGTTTTTTTCTTCCTTATCAACACTCATTTCTAGAAACAATACAAGGGAAAAAGTTTTATAACTGTAATTTACAAATAGCCACATATTTTCTAGTATTAGCGGATTGTACTAAAGCTTTTTTTTATAATTAAAAAGAAGTTAAGATAATAAAATGAAAATTGTAATATTTTCGTCCTGGAACTACATTTCTAGAAAGTTCCCTAGAAGCTTCCCTAGAAAGTTCCGGAGCGTCAAGCCGGCAGTTTCCTACCCCACTATACCCCATGAACATGAAAGGATGCTACTTGAATGTGCTAAATCTCTCTACCTACGTCAAAATTCTTGATGGTCCCATCAAAGCATTTTGATGGATTATGTTGGTTTCAAAGCGATTCGTGGGGGTGCAGCATCATTTAATGGTCACCATCATCCAACATTTTCCATTATGAGCTCATGGTTTTTTGATATGACAGCAAACTTCCATCATTCTATGATGGAAAATGCTACTTTAATACTATGATGGTTAACCAACAAGAGAAGATTGATTCTCATGAACCAACAATTCATGATGGTCCATGATGGTTCCAACTGCACATATCTATGATAATTTTATGAGAAAAACCAAATTGCTTTGATGGAATATACCACCAAAACAATTCGGTGGACCATCATAAATCTGGCCAAATTCCTACATTGGTGTGAGGCTTGTTCATGATTGTTCCAACAATTGATTTCTAGGAAACTATGATGGAAATTTCTGATGGTTCAACATGAACTAACCATCAAAACTATTCTTATGTTGGACCATCATAAATCAGTCCTACATTGATAGTTACTTATGTTGGTAACAATCAAAAAGATAAGGGTTCATAATGAAATTATTGATGGTTACCATCAAGATTATGTTGGTTCATCAACGGAAAACCATCAAACATTTTGACATGTGAAGTATAGCTTCAGACAGAGATATGATCACAATGAAAGAGCTTTATTACAATCAGTATTATGAAAGACCTTATACTCAATAATTTCTAAACTATTTTCATATTACTTGTCTCCTTCATCTACCTTCAACTTTGTTGATGGTTGACGCAGGAGATTTAGAATGAAGAATGTTCAGCGAAACAAATCAAGTTTGCATTTGACCGATATGGACAAAAGCACTTTTTGGAACTCTGAAAGATATTTTTTTAATACTTGAAAAGTTGCGAAGATGAAGTGATACTTATGTGAATTTAAATAAATTAGTTTTAAAGATCAAACTTTGAAAATAGGAAATAAAGACTATGATTTAGCTCTATTTCTTGCCGCATAGTTGATTAAATCTATAAGTCTACAACTGTTCCCGTCATAGCGTTCGCAGTTTAGCTTGGTGGAAAAAGTTTAGTTTGCTCGTGATATAGTGTTCGTATTTAATTTCCTTCTTTCTTATACACATGTTTACATTTAGCGATAACGGTAAATTCTTAACACTCATTTTAACTGCTCGTGTCATAATGTTTGCACTTTAACTTGTAGCTGAAAAGCAGGTTTTTATGGTAACTCTTTTGATGCCACTTGCATTTGGAACCTTCCTCTACTAATGTATACAAAATTTAAAGACTCGGTGTATCATAAATCAATGCTGTATGATTAAATGAGACTAAGATAGAATATTTATCCAAAAATCAATTTTTCAGAAATGTTCCTTTTAGAAATTTCATTCACTCTCTTCTGTAGTGTAATCATTTCCTATTGAATAGTGCTTTTATTTCAATAATCTGCGTAAAAGGAATAATTTAGTCTTGAAGCACTGTATAGGAATGTGTTTGGTCAGAATGGATTGGTATTTCTGAAACTCTGAGAGTAACGGTCAGATATTTGTCTCTTGCATCTGGCCGAGTACTTCTTGTAGAGTGTCTCTGCTATGAGCGTCAGGAGACCGGCAATGAAACTGAAGAGGAGGAGGAAGAAGGGTCCCTGTAAATCTTCCACCCTCACCTCCCTCTGCCCCGGAAGTACTTGTTCCATTTGATAACATTCCTCTCTGTTGGGCGTGTACTTGCTGTACCAGTGATCCAGGACACCATTCTCTTTCATCAACTGGATCCTAAAAACAATTCATTTCTATTTAGAGGAATTTAAAGTATCCAGCTGGTGCAATTTTGACAACTGAAAACGACACTGTAGGTATGTTACTGCGAAGGACAGAAATGGGTGGTTGTTGACTTCCACCGGTGAATGTTGACAATCACATAGCCACTTTGGTATATGTCCGAAATATATACTAGGTCCAGTTAAGTGCCACTGATCGGTACGCCTTACATCAATGTTTTTTTAAGGTTCAGTGCCACTGCCCAGTATGCGTTTAACCGGTACTGATGTTTCGCCTAATCTATCCTCAGCAGATATTAAAACATCGAAGAAACATAATAATATCAACGATTAAATTAATATCAAATCGGATATAACAAATATTTCGGACATTTACCAAAGCGACTATGTGATTGTTGACATTCACCGGTGAAAGTCGACATTCTCTTGATTTCGATCATTCACGATAACAGATGCATAGTTAAAAATGTCACCAGAACAATTAAATAAGAACACTTAAAGTAATAAATCTTTGAATCTGTAAAACTGAGTTGTTATGATTACTAATAACTTTATTCAAATTAAATTGTTTCAGCATTTTTTTGAAATTACGCACTTTAAATGCATTTTCTGAAAAACGTTGATTTTGAGAAAATCCTTTTACACTAACACACATTGTAAAAAAAGCTAATTATAGAACTCTTTAAAATTTCTAAATTTGAATTTTTTATTTTTTCTCGAAGTTTTTCTAGCAACAATTATAAAAAATTAAAATAAGGACACGAATTTATAAAAAAAAAACTGCAATAATATTACACATAGCGCTTTTTAAATCAAAATAAATTATCTGAATTCTTTAATAAAGAAATATGTTTCCCCAATAATCATTTTAAACATTTAATACCAGTTCTTTTTTATAGCAATATAAAATATAATTTTTAGCTAGACTAGATTCATCTCCAAGACTGCGAAGTCAACTGCAGAACATGAAACGTAATTTAAGATTATTAAAGATTAAACGATGAAAAAGATTTCATTCATTTTATTAAATATAAAAGTGCTAAATAAAGTGGTCTTTTAATAGTTAATACTTACATAATAATCTTCATTTGCTATTATTATCAAATCGGGGTTCCACCGAAACAAACTCTATTATTTATGACTCCCAAGTCGAAAAAAATTGGGAACCGTTGATGTAAAGGAATTTAAAAATGTGTATCGTTTCTCAGAGGAATCTAAAAATACGTAAGATTAGTTTTTCAAAATACCTAGAATTATAAAGGGGGGGGGGTGAAAAATGTTACGGTCAGAAAAACCTAGAGAAGTACATCTATTTTCCCAATGGATAATAATGATAACGCTTACATAAAATGCTACCTGATGTAAAATATCCTTACTCGTAGATCGATCATGGGTTAGAGTACCTTTGCCGACAGGCTAACCATGAAAAATTTTCGTGGTCTTCCTCTTTATTAAAAGCAAATGCGAGTTAGATTCATCGAAATGTCCTCCACGGAGGCAAATTTTCACAGGAGTTCCCTTGTCATCGTGATTAAGCTCAAGGCTACTTTAGTAGTCATAAACTAGTCGGCTGTTATAAAGAAGAAAACCCAGTACAAACACGTACTCTTGGTTGAGTAAAGGTAAGAGGAAAGATCCCCGCCGCAGTCCAACAGCCAGATCCATTCTAGAAAACTCGTAAGGGGGTATGGTGATTCGACACCGATTCTCCTTCTTGTAATCCTCATCCACCATCCACTGCAGATAGTTGTAATCATCTATGTAGACACTCTTCTTGGCAATGACATCGTCGATGGCACAACACCGCTCCTCCACAGTATCCATTATCTTGCTCCTCCGGGGATTCTCCAGAAATGTTTTCCTAACTCTCTCGTACAACTCTATGTCGGATTCCTGCAATGGAAAACTAAGACTTAAAAAATTTTTACTTAGAGAAGAAGTTGTAGCATTTTGTTTACGTTGTACTAGAGTTGGAAGTAGCACACCACCAGAAGTGAAACAACCGCTACTTTTTGTTCATAGTGTGCTACTTTTTTTTTGAAAAAGTAATGTAGTGAGTAGAGCGATACATAAAAAACAGTACTTAGTAGCGGCGATTCCTGACAACTAATTTGATCGTTAGTTTAGAAAAGAAACACGGATGTAACGAAACTAATTTTTCGAATTGGATGGGTACAAATCTGTCTATAGATGCAATGAAAATGACCCTGTGACTGCAACTGAGCGTGGACAGAAATGACGTATTCACAATCACGTATAACTAATATTTAAACTAGCCATGACGAAAAATAGATAATGTAACACGTTGGTCCCATTTTTACATGTGCATGCACATTCGTGAAACATTGATGTTAATTAAAAGAAAGGGAATGCATTTTCGACGTTCTTAGAGTAAATAAAAGAACATTAAACAATTAACAAAGAAAAAGTATGTGATAATTTTAGGATTTCATAAATAATCGCTGTCGGAAAAGAAATGAAAAGTTGAAGGTTTAAGTAAGCACATTCGAAAAACTTTCTTGGAATAACAAAATTGGCTCATATAAACATGAATAATTAATTAAACATGATGAATTAATGTAAACCAATTTCTTATTCAAAGTCATTTTTCACTTAAATGTAAATTGAGTTCCTTAACAAAGTTTGTCTTCTCAAAATAGTGAAGTAGTTACTACAATTACAAAGTAATTTGTAGTCACTACATTTTAAAAATGTAGTTGTAGCTTACTACATTTGTAACAAAGTAATTGTAGTAAACTACAAAAATAATGTAGTTTTCCGATCACTGACTAGAGCTGCACATTGGTAGATCGACGACCTGCGTGAAATCGAGTACTTTAAGACAGACCAATACCACGTACCGTCGGTCCCTCCCGCAAAGTGATTTTTACTCAGGGAAAACAGATACCTATCTCTTTAATTTTCTTCTTTTTCTCCCCTGACTCTTGACCTGAATATTCATACAGCCAGTATCAAATGGATTAAAATCAGTTGGTGTTGATGGCAAGTCTGCTAAAAAGTGAAGACTGATAACTCGATCATTTCCAAAAATGCAGCTTAAGCAGCTTAATCAATGTCATTGTCTTTTTTGTTTATCTCTTTCTTCTTCAATACTCAGGACTCATTTCAGATCCTGACTATAGTGGCTCTATTTCTCAGCTTTCTGAGAGCCACGCTTTATTTTAAATTATCCTTTATATCGCTTATGAATGCATGACGCTCTTTTGTGATTCCTTGCAATTTAAAATGCATATTCCTACAATTTTATTGACTCCCAACCTACATCAACCAGGGTTTTCCCTGGAATTGCTTCTGCCTCCCTTGCCCATTTTTCCGACGTGTTGCCATGGATCGCCACCAAGCCTACCTTTTTGAATACTCTTTTTCTCTTGCTGAGAGGTCAATGGGCACGCACTTAGAGGGGTTAAGCTTTGATCATTTTACTGACTGAAAAATTGTCACAATTTCACATGAAGAATCAATATATGTAACAGGAAATCGCACAACTCGTAACTGAATATTTCTTAATTTAAAAACAGATTGTTAAAAATACTGGAGTTTACCTGTAAATCTTCAAGTACAGGACAGCCTTCCTTGATGACGAGTTTAATGGAGTCGTGGTTGACCATGTCCTCCAGAGATTTCACGACAAACTTGATGCCGGGAAATGCGAGTACAGCAATCAGATTGGCACTGTAAGTGGTTGTAAGGATCAAGACTGCCAGCCACCAAGTGGACATCAGAACACGTCCTGATGTTGTCACAGGAAGGCATGTACTACCTGGGTAAGTCATTAGAAATTACATTGCTTTGGAATAATGCTATGGGAACATGGGGGGTAATTAAGAGTCGCATTGCGTAGCTTCTAATGGTTGCTGAAAATCTAATAGTCTAAGTGATAGAAACAAAAAACTGTATTTTAAAGATTTGGGTGGGGAGGGAGGCTGTTATAATTTCAAATTGTATCATTGAATTTTATACTTAAATGAGCAACAGAATTTATTTAATATATTTTTATTTCTTGGGTGGGAGGATGTTTTTCGAAATTAAATTTTAAGTGGAACAAGATTTTTTTCTATATTACTTGAGTTTAACAACTAGGCAAAAGGCTAATAAAGTACCATGGAAGGAATGAACTCTCAGTACAAAGGTGAACTAGTGATTGCCATAGTTGGGGAATGATAAAGCCAAATAATTATGCCACATAATTACATTATTCGGCATGAGGGCAAAATGTTGGGTTTCAAATACAAACATCAGAAACTTTACTCGTTCATCCTCAAATGCTAATGGATTTCCCAGCATGTATACCTTAGTTCAGTACTTTATATCCAATGTCTTCCAGATAGATACAAGACAGAAATTATTTAAAGTACCAGATTTGAATATAGAAAATCACCTTTGGCATTTTTGAACGTCTTGAATAAAAAACAAAGCAAATGCTTTTGGTAGAAACTGTTGTGATTCTAATCGTGTGAAACGGTCAAATAGCTCCTGAGAAATTGATTTTTAAAAAAAATTGATTTAAAATTCTATTTCTTAAGACCGTAATGTATCAATTATGCTCAAACTTTGCATATTGCTATAAAAAATAACAATATTTAAAATTATGTAAAGAAATTATCGAAATTCTTTCTAATCTTCAATGTTTTTTTAAGGTTCAGNTCAAAATTGGTCAATTTTAATCTTAAATCCCCTCGAAACTCCACATTTAATTTATTTCTGTTCTTAGTTAAGATTGAATTTACGTAACTGAAACCGGCTTCAACCATATAGGAACTCGGAAATGCTATCATAAATGGCTAAGCTATTTCGTAAAGTTCTACATATTTTTGCATTATATTTATATTTGTCCAAAATTTGCTTATTGTTAAATTTTTTAAAAGCCTCTTTGCTTCAAATCCCCTTAATAATTCAGCAAGCTCATCTTGCAGGCTGATGTCCACGTTTTCAATTTGAGCAGAAAATGGCACAATAATCCAATCAGGGATGTCAATGTTTTCCAAATCAACAAAACACAGTTTAAAATCGTTGCTCAATTTTTGAAGATTACCTGTATCTATTTCCAAGTCTTCTTCTTTTATTACTAATTGTCACCTATCTGAAAAATACTGATAATCCTTCGACCAATCGACCCTTCCGATTCGGATCGACCCCTGGCTCAGATCGACCTCCGCTTATGTTAAATAGACTCCTGGGGGTCTATGTAGACCACTTTGGTGACCTCTGGTCTAGTATATGATCAGGTGAATGTTAGTCTAGTATTTTTGAATTGAATGGGTGGAAATCTTCGCGAGTCTGTCAATGGATGCAGTGAAAATGACCCTGTGGCTGCAACTGAGCGTGAACAGAAATGACGTATTCACAATCACGTATAACTAATATTTAAACTAGCCATGACGAAAAATTTAACGCTTTCCCATTTTCAAATGCGGGTGCACACTCGTGAAACACTGATGTTAATTAAAAGAAAGGGAACGCACTTTCGATGTTCTTAATTTCTATAGAAGAACGTTAAACAATTAACAAAGTAAAAGTATCTGATCATTTTCGGATTTTATAAATAGTCACTGTCGAAAAAGGAATAAAAAGTGGAAGTGAACACATTCGAAAAAACTTTTTTTGAATAACAAATTGTCTCATGTAAACATGAATAAATCTCTCTCAATGAGTCCCTTATATTTAATGGAGGCCAATTTCTTATTCAAAACCGTTTTTGATTCAGGTGTGAATTGAGTTCTCCAACAAAGTTCGTCTACTCAAAGTAGTTACTACAATTACAAAGCAGTTAGTAGTCACTACATTTTAAAAAAGTAGTTGTAGTTAACTACGTTTGTAACAAAGTAGTTGTAGTTAACTACGTTTGTAACAAAGTAGTTGCAGTTAACTACGTTTGTAACAAAGTAGTTGTATTAAACTACAAAAATAATGTATTATTGCCGACCACTGAGTAGAGCTGCACAATGGGAAACATCCGGATGATTCAGAGACATGACCGCAGGCCCTCCCCCATTGGTAGATCCGACGACCTACGCGCGAAATCAAGTACTTCATGACAGAACAGTTAAACGAGGACCCATACCAGGCACCTTCGGTCCCATCCGCAAAGTGATTTTTATTCGGAGAAGACAGATATCTATCCCTTCAGTTTTTTTTATATCTGACTCTTGACCTGAATATTCATGGAGAGAGGTTCATAGAGAGAAGTATACCATTATTATCGTTTAGTTAAATTTTCAATTTGACCAAAATTGATCAAAACGCTTTTCGGTGACTCCACATCAAATGGATTAAAATCAGATGGACCTGGTGGCAAGTCTGTTAGAAAGGGAAGACTGATAACTCAATCATTTCCGCAGCTTTATCAATATCATTATCTTTTTTGTTTATCTCTTTCTTTTTCAATAATCAGGACTCGTTTCAGATCTTGACTATAGTGGCTCTATTTTTCAGCTTTCTGAGCACCACGCTTTCATTTCAATTATCCTTTATATCACTCATGAATGCATGACGCTCTTTTGTGATTCCTTGCAATTTTATGCATATTGTGCCCATCATTTTATTGATTGAAAAGCCAGTACTATTTAACATAAGGAATCAATATTGTAATATGTAGCAGGAAATTGCCCAAATGATAACTGAATTCTTTCAAATTAAAAGACAGATTGTTAAAATATTGGAGTTTACCTGTAAATCTTCAAGCACAGGACAGCCTTCCTTGATGACGAGTTTAATGGAGTCGTGGTTGACCATGTCCTCCAGAGATTTCACGACAAACTTGATGCCGGGAAATGCGAGTACAGCAATCAGGTTGGCACTGTAAGTGGTAGTAAGGATCAAGACTGCCAGCCACCAAGTGGACATCAGAACACGTCCAGATGTTGTCACAGGAAGGCACGTACTACCTGGGTAAGTCATTAGAAAATACATTGCTTTGGAATAATGCTATGGGAACATGGGGGGTTATTAAGAGTCGCATTGCATAGCTTCGTCGGTCGCTAAAAATCGAATCAAATGGTCGCTAAAAATCGAATAGTCTAAGTGATAAAAAAACTGTATTTTAAAGATTTGGGCGGGGAGGGAGGAGGTTACAACTTCAAATTATATCATTGAATTTTATATTTAAATGAGCAACAGAATTTAGTATATATATTTGTATTTCATGGATGGGAAGATATTTATCGAAATATTTCTTTTGAGTGCAACAAGATTTTTTTTCATATTTCTTGAGTTTAACAACTAGCAAATGGCTAATAAATTACCACGCAAGGAATCAACACTATCACGTTCAGTACTAAGGTGAACTAGTGATTGCCATAGTTGGGGAATAATAAAGCCAAAATTATTATGCCAAATAATAACATTATTCGGCATAAGAGCAAATTGTTGGGGGTTTCAAATATAAACATCAATACCTTTACCCGTTCACCCTCAAATGCTGATGGATATGCCAGCATGTAGACGTTAATTCAATATTTTATATCTAATGTTTAGTCTTTCTGATAGATACAAGACGGTGAAAATTTCAATTACCAGATTTGAATATAGAAAACCACCTTAGGCGTTTTTCAGCGTCTTGAATATAAAACATAGGAAATGCTTTGGATAGAAACTGTTTTGGTTCAAATCGTGAGAAATTGTCAAATAGTTCTTGAGCAATTTTATTTAAAAAAAAATTGATTTGAAATTTATTTCTTAAGACCATAATGGATCGATTAAGCTCAAACTTTGCATTTTGCTAAGAAAAATTACTTCATTTAGAATTATGTAAAAGAATCTATCAAAATTCCACAATTGTTAAATGAAATATCAATATATAATTATTAAAAAGCCTTTTTTTTAATGGAGTTATTTTTAGATAAACAAATTGAGTTTTCTACACTAGGGAGCGCTGCAAGCTGTTGACCGCCTATATTTCTGGGTGTTTGGTGTGTTTTAAAACCATTTGTCTCACAACGTGTATATTAGAGACTCTCTTCGGTAGTATTTCTTGTATGCCTGTGTATTTGTTACCTGATTTATTATTTGCGTCCAAAAGAAGAATCTTTTAAAGAATCATCATTTCAAGACGTAAGAATGGTCATTTGAAAAAAGAATCGTTATAAAAATTTTTTATCTTATTAACAATATATTGATTTCGATATTTAAACCTAAATGATAATTTGTAAAATGAACTTAATCTCGCTGCTCGAACAATATGCGAACACAAACGTATAATGGTGCACGGCTTGCAACAAGAACAGTACTAAACAGAGGCCAAATCAGAACAGCCAAAAAAGCGAGTTCTTTCCAAATCTGGCAACCATGTTCCCTTATTTAACAATGCATCTCTCAATAACTTAAACAAATTGTCACCAAAATTACTTAATATCAAAATAAAAATAATTTCATATAAAAATAATTTAATATAAAAATAATTTCATATCTTATGAAATACAGCAGATTTGAGTTCAGAAATTATATCATTTACTTCTTTTATTTAAAAAAAAAATTATCCGTTTGAAAATATCGCCTCGCAGAATAAACTGTAGTAAGCAGTTGTATGCTTTCTAACCAGAACTAGAACAGGAAAAGAGTTGATATTGCTTACATTTATACTGAAAACACTACTCATTGTCTGCAAGAATTTTCCAATTCGTTATTAAGCTTTCACGAGATAGGGCGAAACACGCAAGGAGTGAAATTAACATGAAGGTGTTCAAACTTTGGACTGCTCGCCTGAACAAACAATTGGAACCCTTTGTCCCAGTTTGTAGCTACCTCCCTATGAAGTTCAAAAATTCTGAAAAATTATCGGGCTAGCAAAATAAGGAATAAAATAAACTAAATGCACAAAGAGATAAATTAAAAGTAAAAGCACGAGACACTTTTTTGAACAACAGAGAGTTGTTGATTTTTTAGAAATTAGTTTTGTTTTTGGAATTTGAGGTTTATACTAACAGGTTACGGGTTTTTCTATATTTTATTGCAAGATTATTACTGACCCATTAGACGGGTAATTTAATGCTGTTACTGTATTTGTTGTTGTGAAATAAGTGTTTTTTTTCATGAAACAAAGGACTGTTTCTTAATATAGATTATGACGTTACACCCCCCTATTTTGAGTACCAAGTTTCCAAATAAGTTGAAAAAAGTTTTTTTCTTCACAGATAGTACATTTTAAGTCTGATTACACAATTTAAAATATCGTCTGGTTAGCACTTCTTTCAACCATTAAGATTGAGAACTAGACCTCGAAAATCCGATCCCTAGATTAAAAGTTACTCAGGGGTTCATGTCTAGCAGAATTTAAAAATTTATCTGAAATGACTAACCTTCCTAATTTTTATTCTCATTTTTAAGAAGAAATCCAAAGAAGCTATAAAATCACTATTTCTCCTCATTAAATAAATTGACAACTTCCTTTTCGTCCTTTTTCGATCCAAATGTATTGTGCTACCAAATGATAATTAATCATCAGAAATTTGTTTAGGAAAAAAAATATTCTAGAAAATGAAATTAAAAAATTTAACCTACATTCCAAGATGGCAAGAGAATAGGCCATTTACCTGATATATTTCCTGTTTCTCTTTTCTTTAACTAATAGCATTTGTAATTTGCTTTTCCTGGCAGATTTTCGGCTTTGTTTTTTCGTTCTTTCTAAACTTTATTCTAAATTCGTTTCCTTTTATTTCCTGTATAAAGCTTTTCCAATGAAATGTTTTAGGAGGTCAAATGTGGCCTGACGGTTGATTCAGTATAGCGGTTATATATTTTGACGGAATGTTTGACTCATCATGAGGATTAAGAATCGAATAGTACCCTATCCGAAAGTGTCATCATGTGTATTAGAGGTTAATGTTATTGTTATTTATCCCCCTGGTGTAGGAAGGCCTGCATCAGGTCCTAAAGACCCTGTTTGCCTGATAACATCAAAAATTTTCTCCTGCTCAACCAATAGCTGCCTCCAGGAGGTTCCTAAACAATGAAGGAGGTGAACAGGACTAGCGGGAAGAGAGCAAGGAGAAACAAATCTTTTTCACTCTCTGAAATTTTATGCATTTCAAGTGACCACCTCTGAGTCTTGCCAAGGCCGATTGTGGGCCGCAGCATAACAGTGACAGGCCCTGACCCTCTGTAGCGTACCAGTTATGAACTGGTGGGAGGAGTCAAGTTGAAAGTAAGTTACTTTTGTGGAGTGAGGGGATTTCCGAAGGAATTATTAGGTCGACAGAGGAGTTGGCGATCGGAAGATCACACTCATTTCTAGGAAGAGTATCTGCAATCTCTTCATCGTACACCCCAACATCCGTAGGAATCCACCGGAGGCATATTGATTCCTTCAGGTCTAGCTTGTATAGAAGCACTAGAAAATCCTAGTCAGGTTTATCATATATTTTCGGCAAATTTTTCAGGTATTGAATGATATTTTTTATTGTCATTCAAAATCAAATACTACTATAATCATAAGTAAGGGCAGACTCAAGAGGCCTCCCAATAATTTCTGATCTAAAAACTGAGCAAAAATCAGGGTTATGGATACTAAATTGAATTTCGTTTTTAAAGTTGCCTGATGAAAACGCCACCCCCAGCTCTACAGTCTCCTAATTATCCGCTAGAGGTGCTTCTTTTATATGAATTGGCTTTTCATGCACATTTTAACAGGTACTTTTGTTGATCTAAATGACATCAATTTTATGTTTTCTAATAACTATTGTGAAATATTGCATTCAAATAGACCCAGATTTAGCTGCATTATTCTAATTTACTTATTTGGCGTCTCATTTGCAAGGCTCGCCTACTACATAGCTGAAACAATAAATAACTGTAAAGCAGTTATTTCTGAGGCTATTTGAATGCTATTTTCGACAATAGTGAATCGAAACATGAAATGAGAGAGGTAGGTACTTTATTTATGACACATTAGAGCCGCACATTTAGAGACTGTCTAGGAAACATAACTGAGGATGATCCGAAGACATCTCATCGTAATTTTGATCCTTTGTTGAGGGGATGGCTCCCCTGTTTTGGTATCCCGACAACCTGCCCACGAAGTAGAACACTTAACGGTGGAACAGTTTAACGAGGACTGATATCACGCACCCTCGGTCCCTACGTAGGCCAAAGTGGTCAAACACCCACCCACTGATCGCAGCCAGTGATGCTTGACTTTGGTGTTCAATTAGGAACCGTGTTTTTACGATCAGTCAACTGCGTTCTCAAAGCATGAAATGAAGATCAATTACATGAACCGCATGAACAGCCAAGCCAGTCCATAATGGGGAAGTGTACGATGGCATTTCCTGCATTGGGTTACTTCGCGATACTCGATCCTACATCCGTTCCAAGTGTGTAACCGCAGTACTGAATCAACCAAGTGAAAAATATTTGTGACTACCTTGTTGTAAGAGAGCACCAAAGATGACCCAGGAGCACCTCGAGAATGAGGAGAGAATTCTAGATTCCCTGGCTGTTGTATCTGTTTTTTGCATCCAGCTCAACAGAATGCTGAGCAACAATCCAACACCCACTAATAAAAGCCAAACCTGGAAAAAAAAGAAGGAAATTTTGGCTTCTTATTTGATGTCTGGACGCCATATGAAAAACAGTAAGTTGGTGAAAAAATATTTTGAGCTGCGCAGCCATCTTTCATTTTTTTTAAAAAAAAGATTTAATTCAAAGGGGGTAATTTGTTTGAGCCCCCCATAAATTATGTCACGACTGGAGGGGAGGGTGTTTACACAATGTGGCATTACACATTAAGTGTAACATTGCACATTTTGGTTAAAATTAAAGCATGTAAAATCAGCAGATTAAATATGTCTATAATACGTGTTTTGTATTCGAACTGTTAGTGCATGTTTATCTAATATAGCGTGACATATGACGTGAGGGAGTTAGGATGATCTGTGACAAGGTGAAGTATGACACTTCAAACAAAGGGAAGGAGGGGTCATAAATATCGAAAACAAAGTGTGAATTGTGTGAAAGCTTCCATTGATTATTTTTCGTTGTTTTACATAGTTGATTTAACTTTAAATAAAACTAGAAATTTTGCACTTTTTTAGATTTTGAAAATTTGTTAAAAATACATATTAGATACCACATAAATCTTTAACAATACTTCCTTTAAAACTTGTTCAAGTGGCGTAGTTAACTAGATTTTAAGCTTAAACATTGTAGCATAATAAGCTAAAAACTTTAATTCTCATGATTAAAGTGTGATATAAAGTACGATTATATGTAGATGACGTTACCTTAGATGAAGTTTTAGTGAGATAAAGGTGAGATTTATTTCACAGACCTTGCCACTGAAGCTCAAGATGTAGGGCAAAAAAGACAAATAAGTACTTTCTATCAGAAAGTGAAACAAATAAAAGGAAATAAACGAAATTCGCAATGTGCAATACGAGACAAAAACAACAATAAGTTACTTACTACGGATAAGAGGATCGAAGAAAGATGGAGAAAATATTTTGACCATGTTGAAAATTCTGAGCAACTTCCAAATGTTACATTAAATGTAGCATCTACTGTAGATTTTTCTTTGGGAGATATCTCGCTGGATGAGGTACAGAATGCCCTGAAGGCCACAAAACCAAAGAAGGCTGCAGGGAGAGCTGGAATCGTGGCAGAGACGCTTAAAGGCTGGGACACACCTGTCATGCAGCGTTCCGATCCGACTACGGTCATACGGCCGGACGACTGTATGAGAGGAGAATAGTCAACGGCCTTGAATGCAGCAAGCCACACCTGTCCGTCACGTGACCTGTTCTACTCCCACCCGTCTCCGATTCGTTGTCCGATCACGCTCAGACAGTGCAGACCATTCGTTTACTTGATGCGGGACGCTTGTCGTTAGCTGTTTTTGTATAGTTTTCTGTGTTCTATGGTTTTCTGACATCGCTTGGCGAAAAATGGCGGCTATAAAACCGGAGGAACTGATCGAAAGTGTAAGAAATTTTCCAGTTTTGTATGATCAAACTCAAGAACAGTATAGAAACTCTGACTACAAGGACATTATCTGGAAAAAAGTTGCGAAGGAATTGAATGTAGAAGGTAAGAACATTTATTATTATTATTATTATATTATTATTTATTATTATTATATTATTATTATCATTATTATTATTATATTATTATTTATTATATCATTTATTATTATTATATTATTAATAATTATACTAGATTATACAAATTTGAAAAAATGCATAGCTTGGAAAACAATAAACTTATAAACTTATGAGGGCCCGACGTTCTTGCCACTCCACACTACCCTCTTCAGAGTTGAAGAATTGTTTAAACTGCTCTCTTACATTAAATGCTTCACGATTTTCCCCTCCTCTGCGACGTGGAAAGTGCTGGAGGCGAGATTTCTCCACTGGAGTTATGTCAGCACCATGAGTTAGTTCAGGCACTTGGTAGTTTTCGTCATTTCGAATGAAGTTGTGCAAGATGCATGCTGCGAGTACAAGACTCGTTATGTTGTCAGGACTTCCCTGGAGAGGTCTCATGAACATTCGAAATTTTTGCACCAAAATGCCAAAAACGTTTTCCGATATTCTTCTTGCTCTACTCAATCTGTAGTTGAAAATTCTCTGCTCGTTAGACAAGTTCTTTCCAGGAAATGGTCTCATAATGTTTTCAGTAAGGGGAAAAGCTTCATCTGCAACTATAACCATAGGAAGTTTAGTGTCTGTTCCTGGGAGACACTTTTTGTCAGGGATGTTAAGTTGGTTTCGAGATAGCTTTTTACCAAAATTAGAATTAGACAAAACACCACCATCAGAGTTTCTTCCGTAGCTTCCCACGTCTAGAAATATGAAATTGTAACGAGCATCAACTAGAGCTAAAAGAACAATGGAGTATGTTTTCTTGTAGTTCCAATAGAGAC